AAGAACGTAAAAATTTCAAGCAGAAAACAATTTAATGTGTTACAGTGGGGTATTAAATAATAAATTGAATGTAAAATGTTGCCCAACTTAATTTGCAAATATCATTTCATAAACTCCTTCACAGATATTTAGATGTTGTTTACAGTCGTTAGAGGAGTTGGTACTTGTTTGTGATATCAAAAGTGATTTCAAAAACAATGGTTAACTTATCATCAAGCAGGAGGTCATTTTTTGGATTCATGACAAAGTTTTTCGTTACAAAATTCGGCAATGCAATCGAATCAAATGGAAGTTCAGTATTATTTGCCATCTTTGTCACTATCATTTCTTTCTTACTGTTTAGCAACGATGCTCTAATTGAAATGTTATTGTTATATGCAACACTAAGTAGTCTATCATGCAGCTTCATTTCCAAGTCGATGCTATCACCAATTGGATTTCCCGTAAGGTGCATTTTAAATTTCAGAATATAGGTCAATTTAATATCAAATCCTTCAATAATAGTGTAGTTTAACCTTATTATAAATTTTGGAGACTCGATCGTATCATTGACTGCACTCAAATCGCTGAAATTCGGAATGGTCCACGAACGTGTCGTCTTATCACCACTTGTTACATCCTCCATTTTATCCATCGGCGTTGCCCTCGAACAATGGAACAAAATAACTGCCAGAATCGACAGAATGACTGCTTCGTAGTGCTGCATCATTGGTTGCTATGTGGTAACCTTGTGGTTTCGACAATACCCGATGTGTGTGGGACTAACCGGTACTTGTACTTATCGAACGAGGCACAGAAGAGCTACTGCACACGTCCGATCGTGACTCCGGCCAAACATCAACTGAATATTTAAGTTTTTGTTTTTCACGCATTTGCTACATGCTGCATGTTTTGGATGATTCGGGAAAAAATCTAATGGGAAAGATACTCGAAAAGCTGATTGGCTGAAACAAACAAAACAAACATTGGTTGGGACTACTTCCCATGGGCTTCTAAAGTATTCAACGGTCTCCAGATAATTGCTCGAAAGGAGACCCAACTGCTGTGACCTGCTACATGTAGAGTTAAGGTCAGCAGTTTTGTACAATTATTTCTAGAAATACCACAGTCGCTAATATTACAAAAAGTAATAGTATTTATCAGTTATTAGCCTGTTAACAAGCTGAGAATTTTTTTTAATAGTCAAAAAAGTTTAGTATTCATTTGCTCAAAACAAAAAATTATTCATTCTGTCGAATTATGGAATACCTGTTTTTAGATTTAAAAAATATTAGATTTAATAAAAATTGTTTTTACTGTAATTTAAAATCACGCACAAACCCTTTTATACTTAGAGTTTTATTTGTTCAAACTGATATAGACTGTTTTACGGCAAAACAGTGATAAAACAAAAAAATAAATTCCTTAAAAAACAATTGCAGATGATATTTTTTTTTTTTTTTTTTTAAATTAAGGTAACTTTCTTTAACTTTAAATTACGATTTGATAGTATTTTTTTCTATGCAAACACTGGTTTGTGCTAATATATAAGTAAAAATCTATAAATATTTATGTATACGTTTTTAATTGATTTAAAAAACAGCGTGACATTTTTTTCAAAAAAAAATTTTGGTCAGATCACGCTATTTTGACTTTTTACTAAGAGTAGAATCTTAAACACTCGGTTATTATCCTTTGAAGTGGATTGGATTAAAAGAGTTACCAATAACGAGACAGCCTTGAAAAAACTAAAACTA